ACCTTCTATCATCACAATCATCTGTGCCTCTGCTTTGAAAATCTGAGGTAGGCCACGTGCCGAGTCTCTGCCATTCCTCTCTCTAAATGATGATGACTTTTATGCAGGAAGTGCGATAATTGAATGATACCAGTATTTCAGACACACAGTCCTCATGTATGCTCACGTTTGGTCTGATATTGTAAGAGCGTGTGCAGTCCCCCAAGTGACCGGCAATCAATGCGCTTACACGGTCTGATTTGGTCTATTGCCGCCATGATAATCTCAAAACAAAAATGCGCTAGTTATACGCTCAATTGTTCACTCCTAGCATGCTCTGTCATCGCCAATTTAAGCAAAAATAATTTCGCGTCAATTTTGCCAATAGAATTTTAGTGAATGGCAGAGTACTCTTTATGTTTTAAATTCAACTTTTCAGATCATGTTTACCGTAATCAGTTTTTGTATTCATAATTGAAATTGCAGCATGAATTTGCGAGAGTTACTCAAGAAGTACGGTAATAACGTCGGTTTGCACATGAAGGCTGTTCGAAGCTATGCCCATCAACTGCTCATGGCTCTGCGACTGCTGAAGAAATGTGGTCTTGTCCATGCCGACATTAAGCCTGATAATATTTTGGTACATCCCTCTATTCAAGTTTGCCTGTTCTTCTGAAGGTTCCTAATGGTTTCAGGTAAACGAATCCAAACTGGTACTGAAGCTATGTGATTTCGGATCAGCTGGCCACGTACGGGATCAGGAAATCGCTCCATATCTCGTCTCCCGATTTTATCGAGCACCGGAAATCAGTGAGTTGTATGGATGAATCTGCTCTACCGTAGGACAGATAGAACGGGGTTTATTTTCAGTGCTGGGCATACCTCATGACTACGGTATTGATTTGTGGTCTATCGCCGTTACTATTTATGAAGTTTACACTGGGAAAATCATGTTTCCAGGCAAGAGCAACAATCATATGCTTAAGGTCTGATACGTTTCATTTTTATGGCTGTCTTAACTCAAAAATTGACTAGGCTGCAGTTCTTATCACAAAGCCGCTTGTGGCCTTAGTACGTGGAAGTTGAGGGATCGGTCACGTCGCGGTACAGTTGTACACAATGCTCTATTGATTGATTTTTTCGAGTTGATTTTCGAGTGGAACAAAGCCTGTTTGAAATTTTTAGTTC